CCGCCTGCCCCTGCCCTGTGACATCACCACCTGCTACCCTCTTGCCCCTCTGCCTGGAGTCACATTCACCCTGGGCACCCCGGAAAGGGACTCCGGCTTCTCCGCTGCCCGGAGCGGGAGAGGAAGGCTGAGCTCTCCGGGTGGAGCTGACACCGGGGGAAGGACGGAGAAAGTTCCCCGAGGCTTCCAGCAGGAGAGGCCGCCTCCAGGGCCAGATCCGCTCTTTGCTCCAAACAGGTAGCTGGCTTTAAAGGCGCCTTTCGCCATTCCTGGGGGGCGGGGGGGGCTATTTTCTATTTGGCTTCACTTTGCTGCCTCTGCTTCTTTGTAACCCCTAGACCAAGGCACCTGCCCGTGCCCCTCCGGCTTGCTTGCCTGCCCGCCTGAGTCCAATGAGAAGCAGCCGTTACATGGGCCGGGGGCTTTCGAGTTTATTCCTTAGCCAGACAGATCCCCTCGTCTTCTCTGAGCTGCCCCAGAACCAGGACAGAGCAACGATTCTTGGAGCGAATGGGAACGTTTCATGCTTCCCCCCTGGACATTTTCATTCCGCGTCTAGCCTGTTCTGATCTGATCCTGCACCCATCTCGCTAGGACAGGGACACAAGGCTAGACCCCGCAGTCCTTCCTCAGGCAAGGCGCCCACTGACTGCAGGAGGGTCTCGACCCAAGCGAGGGCTGCAGGGTTGGAGGTTTGGGGTCATTCTCAGCCTGTTCAGCGTCTTCCTTTCCCCCAGCACGGCAGGTGAATGTCACAGGGAAGTGCCCCTGTATATCCGGGAGCAGGTTCTCCCCACGGATGTGCGCCAGCGGATGCTGTGGCCCAGGGTCGGTGGTGGTAGGTGACACAACGCAAAGTATCTTGTGAGTTACACCCCGAGGCAACCCGTCCGCTCCAGCCCAGGGCACGGGAGCTTGTGGGTGTTAGAATTGTCATTGTTCAGCTCCAGGAAATGTACTGAATCCTTTCCCCTTTGTTTAGTCACTTGGATTTGTGCTTTACTGGGGTTAATAATCACAGCCAGAGCCAACTTCCCCAAGCTGCGGGGTGGATGTGCACAGGGCGTGAACCTGGCACACGCCTCTGAGCGAGCCAGCGATTCAGGAGACATCCGTGCGTTTTCTTTGGTGATCGCTCGCACTGGGAGATCAAAACCGTCTGTCAAAAATCCGGCCAGGATTCTTCAAACCAGTGATTCTGGGGACCAGGCTGCTGGCAGTGGTAACGGCACCGCGGTACAGCCTACAGGAGAGGGCAGTGCCGAGCTAGGCGCTGTACAAACATAACAAAGATGATCCCAGCCCGGTAGGTGCCTCAGTGTGGATTTAGGGGTGTGATTTTAGGCACACAAGTTGGAACATTTGAGTTTATTCATTTCAGGCAGACTTTTCAAAGCCACCTAAAGAAGTTAGGCACTTCTCTTCCATTGACTTCCAAAGGGAATTGAGCGCCTGTCTCCTCTCTATGCTTTTGAAAATCTTGCCCTTCTTCTTTCAATAGTTTTTGATTGTGTGTTTTTATATGTGTGTGGGCGAAGGGAGAGAAGGTGGCAACAAATATACAATATTGTGTTAGCTGTTGTGGTTGGTTATTATGAAGATGGAAAAGTATATACACTTTATTTTAGGCTCTCAGTTACTACAAGTGAAGAAAGAAAGAAAGAAAGAAAGAAAGAAAGAAAGAAAGAAAGAAAGAAAGAAAGAAAGAAAGAAAGAAAGTGTTTGGAGATAGATAGATAGATTAGCTAGATAGGGTGTATGGGGATAGATAGATAGATAGATAGACAGACATTTTCATATGAGACCTGAAAAACTAACGGCCACACAAACGTTAAGATCACATCATTTTTCCTAAGAGCAAGGCTGCCTCAGTGCCCTTGGCCGAAGTTTCTTCTTGCAGTATGCAGCGTGATGTCTGGGAGTTGCTCTCCCACCCAGCGATGGCTGCATTTTAGTGGGGCTGGGTGTCTGTACTTGCAAAGCACCTTCGGATCCCGTCTTTCTTCTGTCTCCCAGAAATATGAGACATTCGTTGTTATTCGACACACACATTAAATGTGGCACAATTAGCGCGTCTTTAGTTCTCTCTCTTTCCACATAAGCTGCTGGGAAGTTGGCAGGTGGGAACGTTTGGTCATTACCACTCCGAGGGAGAGTCAGGCCGTAACCTAGCAGTGAAAGGCTCCATGTCCTGGCAGGACCCGCCAAAACGTGCCCCAGTGTTTCTGGCTAGGATGTGACACGCCATAGGGAATGTCTGGGCTTTGCAAAACGTCACTCTCAGAGCTACTGACAGGCAGGCCCTGGTTTTGGTTGCAACCCAGGCTTCCAGTAAATCTCGGGGGGCTGGGGAGGGCGGGATCGGCCCAGCACACAAACAAGACCGCTGGAAATTGATCGGAAAGTTGTCAGGTTTTCTCTCTCTGTGGCATAATTACCCAGCCTAAAGATTTCAGTCTGTGGAACACAGTGTGCAGGACGGGGGAGGTTTGCGGTACTGGAGAGTTGCCCCCAGGGAGGTTAGGCTCGTCTATGTGGTCCCCGCCAAAGGCCCGGTGTTGTGGCCGAGGCATATGCAGAGCCCAGGGGGCAGGTGCGGGGTGTGTGGCACAGGCCAGGGGGCAGGTGCGGGGTGTGTGGCACAGGCCAGGGGGCAGG